TGTCGGGGACGGGGGGGCTGCAGTGGCCCCGTGAGCCCCCAAAACCCACCCCCCACTTTTTCCTTTTCCCTTCCAGGGCCCTCCTGGGGGCGGTGGCCCCCCCGGCACCCCCATCCTGCCCAGCCCCGGAGGTGAGAGAGGGGATGGGTATAAGTGGGGTTTGGGGGTGTAGAAGTGGGATTTGGGGGTGTATAAGTGGGATTTGGGGGTGTAGAAGTGGGATTTGGGGGTGTAGAAGTGGGATTTTGGGTGGTATGAGTGGAATTTGTTGGGGTATGAGTGGGATTTGGGGGTGTATAAGTGGGATTTGGGGGTGTGAGTGGGATCTGGGGGTACAAGTGGGATCTGGGAGGGCCACACTCACCCCCCCACGTGTTGTGTCCCCCCCAGACTCCACCAACTCCAGTGAGAACATGTACACCATGATGAACCCCATCGGACCCGCGGGGAACCGGCCCAACGTGAGTGACGGGACTGGGGACAGGGACAGGGACGGGGTTTGGGGACAGGGACAGAGTTTGGGGTCCCCCCAACATCCTCACCCCGCTGTTCCCCTGCAGTTCCCGATGGGGCCCGGCCCCGAGGGGCCCATGGGCGGGATGAGCGCGATGGAGCCGCACCACATGAACGGATCCTTAGGTGGGTGACACCCCTGGGGACAGCAGCGGTCCTTTGTCCCCCCCACCCCACCCCACCCCAAAATCCCAAATCCTGTGGGGTGTGAGCTCCAGCCGAGGCTGGAGGGGCTCGTGCAGCGGGAGGGGCACGTGGAGGGGAGGGGGGAACGGATTGAGGGGACACAGACACGGATTTGGGGACACAAAAACGGATTTGGGGACACAGACACAGATTTGGGGACACAGACCTGGATTTGGGGTCACACACACAGGGATTGGGGACACACACAGATTTGGGGACACAGACACAGATTTGGGGACACAGACCTGGATTTGGGGACACAAACACAGGGATTGGGGTCACACACAGGGATTGGGGTCACACACAGGGATTTGGGGACACAGCCTGGGGGACACTGGGGTTTGGGAAGGACGCCTGGACGATGCAGGATGGAGGGGACGCAGATTTGGGGACACAGGAAATTGGGGGGCAGACGTGGCTGGGGGGTCACTAACGCCCCGCTGTCACCCCGGCAGGCTCCGGGGACATGGATGGGCTGCCAAAGGTGAGCTGGGCACCCCCACGGGGCTGGGACCCCAATTTTTGGGGTGCCCCCATGTCCTGGGGGTCTCCAGGCTGCTGGGACCCCCCATGCCCTGGACCCCTCCCAGTTACTGGGACCCCCCCCATGCACTGGGAGCCCCCCACATGTTTTGGGATCCCATTTTTTGGGACTCCCCCATATTCTGGGCCTGCCCTATTTTTTGGGACCCCGTTTATTTGGGCTCCCCCATATCCTGGGACCCCTTTATTGCCCCCCACCATGTACTGGGACCCCATTTACTGGGGCTCCCTCATGTGCTGGGTCCCCCATTTATTGGAACCCCATTTATTTGGGCTCCCCCATATTCTGGAACCCCCCGCCCCCCATTTATTGAAACCCCATTTATTTGGGCTCCCTCTTTTACTGGGACCCCCCCCCCCCATTTATTGGTACTCCATTTATTGAGGCTCCCCCACATTTTGGAACCCGCCCCAGTTATTGAAACCCCATTTATTTGGGCTCCCCCACATTCTGGGACCCCCCCCCATTTACTGAAACCCCATTTTTTTTCTCCCCCCACATTCTGGGACCTCCCCCATTTATTGAAACCGCATTTATTTTGCCCCCCCATATTCTGGAACCCCCCCCCCATTTATTGAAACCCCATTTTTTTTCTCCCCCCACATTCTGTGACCCCCCCATTTATTGCTACCCCATTTATTTCCCACACACCGAGCCCCCATTAACCCCCCAAACCCCCCCAAACCCCCCATAACCCACCCCCCACTAACCCCTCTCCCCCTCTCTTCCTCCAGAGCTCCCCCAGTAATTTGGGGGCCCTGAGCAACCCCCCCGGGACCCCTCGGGACGACGCTGAGCTGAGCAGCAATTTCCTAAACCCCTTCCAAAGCGACAGCGTAAGGGACCCGCCGGGGACCCCCGCGGACCCCCGGGGGGGCAGGCGGCGGGGGCGGGGGGCCCGGGGGGGACGGGGCCGGGCTCGGGGGGGGTCAGCGAGCAAACCCCACTGGCGACCCCCCGAAATTCCCGCAGCGGCATCACCGGCGGGGGGGTCACCATGGCCGGGAGAGGCGTGAGGAGGAGCCGGGGGGGGCAGCGCCGTGTGAGCCCCCCCGGTAACCCCCCGGTAACCCCCCGGTAACGCCCGGTAGCCCCCCGGTAACGCCCGGTAGCCCCCCGGTAACCCCCGGTAACGCCCGGTAACCCCCCGGTAACGCCCGGTAACCCCCCGGTAACCCCCGGTAGCCCCCCGGTAACGCCCGGTGACCCCCCGGTAACGCCCGGTAAGCCCCGGTAACCCCCGGTAGCCCCCCGGTAACGCCCGGTGACCCCCCGGTAACGCCCGGTAAGCCCCGGTAAGCCCCGGTAAGCCCCGGTAGCCCCCGGTAACGCCGCGGTGTCTCCGCTCTCTCTATAGTACTCGCCCAGCATGACAATGAGCGTGTGAGCCCCGCGCCGAGGCCGCCGACAAGCCAGAACCACCGAAAAAAAACTAAAAAAACCACACAAAAAAATTATAATAATTCATTAATTTTAATGATCGGCCCCGCCCCGTCACGCCCAAATTCACCCCACGCACCCCCCAACACTTTTCAGCGCCCCGCCCCGTTCCGCCCCTCTCCTCCTTTTTATATATATTTTTCTTTTTTATTATTATTATTTTTTGGGTTTTAATTTGTTTTTTTTCCAAACACTAAAAACGAGGAGGGAAAAAAAAAAAAAAAGCGCAGGAGGATAAAAAAAAAAAAAAAAGAAGAAATAATAATGATGATTAGAAATAAGTCACGTGACTTATTTACTGCCCTCCCCCCCTTTTCCAGAACTGGGACCCCCCCTCATCCTCCCCCCATTTTCCAGTCCTTCCCACCCCCCCAAACTGGGACCCCTTTATTGCCCCCCCCCCCAGCACTGGGGACCCCCCCCCCCAAATTCCCAACCTCAGCCCCCCCCCCCTCCCCAGGCGGGGTCAGCACCACGGGGGCATTTTTGGGGTGTTTTGCCCCCCGAGCCTGGGGAGGGGCATTTTTGGGGGGCATCGTGGCATTGTGCCCCCCCTCCCCTCCACGTGCTGCCAATTCCCCCCCCCCCCAACCCCCCCAAATTTGGGGCATCTGGGGGGGCTTCCCTGAGCTGTGCCCCCCCCCAGTGCCCCCCCTGACTCCTGGGGGGGGAGGGCAGGACCAGCAGAGCCCCCCCCCAAATCCAGGCTGGGCTGGGGGAGGGGAAGGGGGGGGGGTCGATCTGTGCCCCCCCCATGCGCAGCCCCCCCCAGTGCGGAGCAGCCCCCCAAAACCCCCTCCCCGTCTGCGTGCTCAGCCAGCACTGTGACCCCCGGCCCCCCCCGAGCACCAGACCGGGCCCCCCCGCCCCCCCCAGGGACCACTTTCATATGAAGGAATTGTTTCTTTTTTTTTTTGTGTCATTTTCTTTTTTTGTTTTGTTTTTTTTTTTGGAATTTTTTTTCTCTTTTTTTTTTTTTTTTTGCTGATTTTTTTCCTCTTTTATAACAGAAAGGACCTCAAAGCTCCTCCTTAACCCCCCCCCACAAAAGCCCCCCCAAAAATGCCGCCGCACACCCAGACCCCCCTCCCCTGTACAGCCCCACACCCCTCGTGTCCCCCCCAAAAGTGGGGGGCAGCCCCCGGCCCCATAGGGGTGACCCCCCCCCATAGGTGTAGTCGTTCTGTGTAGGGACCCCCCCTCATTTCTAAACTTCTAGTTCCCCCCCCATGGCTTATCAAAACAAAAATGGGGGAACACCCCCCCCCCAAAAAAAAAGAACAAAAAAAAAAAAAAGAAAAAATACAAAAATAGCAAAAAAAAAAGAAAATAAAAAGTCCTAAAATGACAAAAAAAAAAAAATCCACGACCTCCCCAACACCCCCTCCCCCCTCCCCGCATCAATAAATGTAATTTGATTTTTTTTCAGAAGGCGGCGATATTTGGGTCTCACTGGGGGTGGGGGGACCCCAAAACCAAGTGAAGGGAGAAGGGACCCCAAACCAGGTGGAAAAAACTCACAAAACCAAATAAAGGGACCCCAAAACCAGGTGGAAAAAATTCACAAAACTAAGTGAAGGGACCCCAAAACCAGGTGGAAAAAACCCAAAAACCAAGTGAAGGGGGGACCCCAAAACCACACGAAGAAGAACGAGCTGAGGGGGACCCCAAGAACCAAATTAAGAGACCCCAAAACCATGTGGAAAAAACTCACAAAACCAAGAGAAAGAACCCCAAAACCAGGTGGAAAAAACCCCACAAAACCAAATAAAGGGACCCCACAAAACCAAATAAAGGGACCCCCAAAACCAGGTGAAGAAAACCCAAAAATCCAAATAAAGGGACCCAAAACCAGAAGGAAAAAACTCACAAAAACAAGTGAAGGGACCCCAAAACCAGGTGAAGAAAACCCAAAAACCAAGTGAAGGGGGGACCCCAAAACCACACAAAGAAGAACGAGCTGAGGGGGACCCCAAGAACCAAATAAAGGGACCCCAAAACCAGGTGGAAAAAACTCACAAAACCAAATAAAGGGACCCCAAAACCAGATGAAGAAAACCCAAAAACCGAGTGAAGGGACCCCAAAACCAGGTGGAAAAAAACCCCACAAAACGAAATAAAGGGACCCCAAAACCAGGTGGAAAAAACCTCACAAAACCACGTGATGGGACCCCAAAACCAGGTGAAGAAAACCCCAAAACCAAGCGAAGGGGCCCCAAAACCAGGTGAAGATCCCAGGAACCACCAGGGAACCCCAAAGACCAGATGAGACCCCAAGACCCGAGTGAGGGACCCCAAAAACCGGCGGGGCGGGGGGTGACGCTGCGCTCGGGTTTATTGGTGGGTACGAAGCTTCATTCACAGTTTGGAGTCGCCGTCAGCGATTGGGGTGGGGGAGAACGACCCCCAAATGGGGAACGACCCCCCAAATGGGGAACGACCCCCCAAACGGGGAAGGACCCCCCAAAGCCACCCCGGTGCCCCCCACCCCCCGGAGGCTGGCAGGGGGTCAGTCGGTGCCGTCGATGTGCAGGGGGGCGCGGGGGGCGCGGGGGGCACAGGGGTGCCCGTTGAGCTGGGCGGGCGCTGCCGGGCTCTTCTTGGGGTGCAGGGGGCAGGCGGGACCCCCGGGACAGGCCCGGCCCGGGGTGGGCGCCGGGCGCTGCATCTTGTGCTCCAGCAGCATGTGGGTCTGGGGGGGCAGCCCCAGGCAGGCCCTGGGGGCACAGAGGGGGTCAGGGGGCACCCCGGGGGCACACACGGGGGTCAGGGGGCACCCCGGGGGCACACACGGGGGTCAGGGGGCACCCTGGGGGCACACACGGGGGTCAGGGGGGCACCCTGGGGACAGGGGAGGGGTGCTGGGCACTGGGGGGGCTGGGGGGACACGGGGAGGTGGGCGTGGGGGGAGTGGGGTGGGATTTCAGGCACTGGGGAGTGAGATGGGGTTCCTGGAATTGGGGGTGGGATGGGGGTCTGGGCACTGGGAAGGTGGGGGTCCAAGAACCGGGGGAGTGAGATGGGGGTCTGGGCACTGGGGGGTGAGATGGGGGTCTGGACACTGGGGGGTGGGATGGGGGTCTGGGCACTGGGGGGTGGGACGGGGGTCCAGGAAGTGGGAAGGAGGGATGGGGTTCCTGGAACTGGGGGGTGGATGGGGGTCCGGGCACTGGGGGGGTGGGATGGGGGTCTGGGCACTGGGGGGTGGGATGGGGGACCAAGAACCAGGGGAGTGGGATGGGGGTCCGGGCACTGGGGGGGTGGGATGGGGGTCCGGGCACTGGGATGTGCTGCTGATGAGTGTTGGGAACTGGGGGACACTGGAGTGTGGCACCTCCAAGAGTTGGGCACTGGGAGCAGCTGGAATGGGGCATGCCAGGCACTGGGAACCCCAAACTTTGGGAACCCCAGGCTTTGGGAACCCCAGGCTTTGGGAACCCCAAACTTTGGGAACCCCAGGCTTTGGGAACCCCAGGCTTTGGGAACCCCAGGCTTTGGGAACCCCAAGCTTTGGGAGCCCCAAGCTTTGGGAACCACTGACACTGGGAACCCCAAACTGGGAACCCCAAACTGGGAACCCCAAGCTTTGGGAACCCCAGCCTTTGGGAACCCCAAGCTTTGGGAACCCCAGGCGTTGGTTACTGGGAGCCACTGGTGCTGGGCACTGGGATCCATTTGTTTTGGGCACCCCCTCGGGCATCAGTCCTGGCACCCATGGGGTACCAGGGTCTGTGTGTAGGGACACCCCGGGCACTGGGACCTTGTTCCCCTTGGGCACCCCCGTGACTGGGAAATGGGGACCCATCCATGCTGGGACCTCTGGGCACTGGGACCATCATACTGGAACCCACTGGTGACACCGGGACCCGCCTGGCACCCTGGGTACCCCACACTGGGACCCCCTGCACCCTGGGTACCCCACACTGGGACCCCCTGCACCCTGGGTACCCCACACTGGGACCCCCTGCACCCTGGGTACCCCACACTGGGACCCGCCTGGCACCCTGGGTACCCCACACTGGGACCCCCTGCACCCTGGGGTGCCGCCGTGGGCAGGGGGGGTGGTGGCACTCGGTGGCCCCCGGGTACCTCAGGATGTTCTCGATGCAGCTGCGCTGGCGGAAGAGCGCGTTGACCACGGGGGTGCCCTCGGGCACCAGCGGGGCCTTGCAGAGGAAGGCGAGGATGGAGAGGACGCTGTGGAAGCCCTGGAACTCGGGGTCGGCCTCGGTGCAGAAGGTGATGCGCTGGCACAGCTCCGTCAGGATGGCCAGGTCCAGGATGATGGGGCTGGCCAGCAGCGAGTCCTGCGGGCGGCGGGGGGCTCAGCGGCCGGCGTGGCACCCGGGGGACGCCCCGAGGACGGCGCGGTGGCCCCGCACGCACCTCGCAGGTGTTGTGGATGACGATGGTGTTGGTGCCGCCCATCATGATCTCGGACGTGTACTCGTCCAGCGCCCGCTTGCTGTCCCCCACGTAGGGCACGTACTTGATCACCACCTGCCGAAGGCACGTCCCCGTGTCACCCCCGTGTCACCCCCGTGTCACCCCCGTGTCACCCCCGTGTGTGTGTGTGTGTGCCACCCCCCAGCCCCCCAACTCACGCAGTGGTCAGGTTTGTCCTGGGGGCCGTAGAGGACGGGGTTGGCCTGCACCGTGTCATCCACCACGTTGCTCTTGGAGATCTCCTTGGAGCGGAACTGCTGCGGCGCCGACAGGTTCTTCCCGTCGTTGTTGCCCAGGTGGTTGTAGCTCACGATGGACTTGGTCTGGGCAGGGGGCACGGGCGGGTCACCCCCCGTCCCCTGCGGCTGGGGACACCCCCTGGAGCCCCCCACGCACCTTCAGGCCGGCGCCCACCAGGAAATCCACCAGCACCGACTTCAGCTTGGTCTGCCCCGACTTGAAGTCGTCGCCGCCGATGAAGACGCGGCGCTGGGCGGCCAATTCCACCGCGCCCGGCACGAAGGTGTTCTGGGGGGAGCCGTTGATGTAGGCGCAGCCCTCCAGCACGCTGGCCACGGCGAAGAGCGTGGACGGGGACACCTCCAGGCCTCGCTGCGGGGACATGGGCGGCTCAGCGCGGTCACCGCCGCGGGGCCACCACCCTCCCGCTGCCCTCGGCCGCCCCTGACCTCGATGGCGCGCAGAAGGTTGTCGGCGGTGTCGTTCAGCCCCGGCACGATGTCGCAGAATCTCTCCGTGTTGGCCGTCCACAGGACGATGACTTTGTCCACCCCGCTGCTCTCCTTGAAGTCTCGGATGTCCCTGCGGATCTGCTCCACCTGAGACACGCGGGGGACGTGTCGGCTCGGTGCCACCACCCGCCCCGGGGCCCATGTCCCTTCCCCTGCCCGGTGCCACCACACCAGGGCCCATGTCCCTTCCCCTGCCCAGTATCCCGGGGCCCGTGTCCCCTCCCCTGCCCGGTGCCACCACCCTGGGGCCCGTGTCCCCTCCCCTGCCCGGTGTCCAGGGCCCGTGTCCCCTCTCCTGCCCGGTGTCACCACCCTGGGGCCCGTGTCCATTCCCTGCCCGGTGTCCCGGGGCCCGTGTCCCTTCCTCTGCCCGGTGCCACCACCCCGGGGCCTGTGTCCCCTTGACTGCCCAGTGTCCCAGGGCCCGTGTCCTTCCCCTGCCCGGTGTCACCACCCCGGTGCCCGTGTCCCCTCCCCTGCCCGGTGTCCCGGGGCCCATGTCCCCTCCCCTGCCCGGTGTCCCGGGCCCGTGTCCCCTCCCCTGTCCCCTGCCAGCACCTGCTCGGCCATGGAGCCGCTCAGGACGTTGTCCGCCCGCTCCTCCTGGTTGGCGGCGATGAATTGGGGGATGTAGATGGAAGGTCGGGGCTTCATCTTCTCCATGTGCGGCCAGAGCTGCTCCTGCAGCGGCCACTCCAGCACCTCCGCGCGCCTCATGGCCTCCGCCAGGTTCAGCGAGGAGATGTCCCAGCCTGGGGGACACGGGGTGACCCAGCGCTCGGGGTGCCCCGCGCCGCCGGGGGTCCCCCCCGCGCCCCACCTACCGTCGAAGACGATGTCGTTGGGGTGCACCATGGGCAGCAGGTCCCGGAAGGGCACGTAGACGTCACCGGAGGGGCCGGTGCCCAGGCAGACGGTGGAGGCTTGGAGCAGGGAGCCGTAGTAGTTGGCTGTCTGGGGTGGCACGGGCGAGGCTGAGGCGCTGGCAGGGGCAGGAGGGGTCCCCGCGCCCCCCGAGTGGGGGATGGGGCTGCAGAGCCCCTCCGCAGGGGCAGAGAGCAGATCGGGGTGCAAGACACCAGCACAGCTCAGCTTGGTGTCCCCAGGGCCCAGGACCTCACTGGGATCCTTCTGGGGACACCCCAGGGACACGGTCCTTGCAGGGTCACACTGGGGACACCCATGCCACGGAGGTCACTCTGGGGACACCCCAGGGACACGGTCCTTGCAGGGGTCACACTGGGGACACCCATGCCACGGAGGTCACTCTGGGGACGCCCTCTAAACTGGGGTCACACTGGGGACACGCCTCTTGTGGAGACCCTGCTGGGGACACCCGCCTTGTTGGGATTAGACTGGGGACACCCCCTCACCGAGGTCACATTGGGGACACCCACCTTGCTGCAGTGACACCAGGGACACCCATCCTGCTGCAGTGACACTGGGGACACCCCCTCACTGAGATCACACTGGGGACACCCACCTCCCTGGGATCTCTCTGGGGACACCCCCCTTGCAGGGGTGACACTGAGGACACCCCCCTTGCGGGGGTGATACCGGGGGAACCCCCTCCCTCAGGTCGCACTGGGGACACCCACCCTGCTGCAGTGACACTGGGGACACCCCCTCCCTCAGGCGGCACTGGGGACACCCCCGGCTGGCTGGGGACACCCACCTTGCGGCCGGTCTTGGTCATCCAGGACAGCCCCAGCCTGTTGGCCAGCACGGCCGCTGTCACCGTGGTGCCGTTGTTGCCCCCCCAGCCCACCAGCATCACCCCCAGGCGCGGCACCTGCCGGCCCGTGCGGAACGTGAAGCGGGTGGAGCACGGCCGCACCTGGGGAGAGAGGGCACGGCTGGGCACGGCTGGGCACGGCTGGGCACGGCTGGGCACGGCGGGGAGCAGCACAGCCCCCCGCGCCCCCCGGAGCCCCAGGCCCACCTTGGTGACGCCGTTCTCCCTGCAGACGTGCGCGGTGCTGTAGGTGTACTTGGCCTCGATGAAGTCCTGGCTGTAGGTGACATCGGGGCTCTCCACGAGGAACGGCTCTGCCATTGTTCCTGGAGCTGCAGGGGCAGGAAATGGGTGGCAGCGCCGCTGGCCTGGCACGCCGGGCCCCCTCCGCCCTGCTGGGACGTGGCTGTGCCACCCGTGGGGACATTGGCTCCCTGCCCTCCCCCGGGTGGCACCGGGACGGGCACTGCGGCCCCTTCCCACCCGTGGGGCGGGACACGGGGGGTGTGGGGGGACAGCCTCACCCCAGGACCCCACAGAGGGCCCAGAGAGCCCGGGGGGCACTGTCCCCGTCCTGCCCGGGGCAGCACGGACTGTCCCCGCTGTCCCCGTCCTGCCCGGGGCAGCACGGACTGTCCCCGCTGTCCCCTCGCTGGGGTGGCGTGGGGGACCGCGGGTGCTCCCAGGGGACGTGGGGGTCCCTGCGTGCCGGGGACGTGGGGGCTGTGTCTGCCCTCGATCCCTGCGGGTGACACAGGTCGCTTCCAGGTGACGTGGGGACAACCCCGCACCCTGAGGTGGCGCACAGGGGACACGGGGGTGTCCCTGCTCCTGAGGGTGTCAGAGCGTGCAGGGGACATGGGGACAGAGGCTGTCCCGGCTCCCAGGCATGCAGAGAATTTGGTGACAAGGGCGGTCCCTACGCCCTGGGGTGACAGATGGGGCAGGGGACGCGGGGAGCAGAGCTGTTCCCACTCCCAGAGTTGTCCCAGAGGACATCGAGACCAAAACTGTCCCAGCACCCCTGGGGTGGCAGAGGGGACACGGGGACAGAGGCTGTCCCAGCACCCCGGGCTGGCACAGGGGACACGGGGACAGAGGCTGTCCCAGCACCCCGGGGTGGCACAGGGGACGTGGGAAGTGTCCCTTTCCAGGGGAAAGGGCATTTGGGGACAGCGGGTGTCGCAGCACCCCGGGGTGGCGGGGGACACCGCCCCGAGGGCACGGGGGGGACACGGATCCGCAATCCCGAACCTCTCCGGGGGTCAGTCCCGCACTCACCGGGCCGGGCCGCGCCGGGCGCGCAGGAGCCGGAGCCGGTGTCTGAGTCTGTATCGGTGCCGGTGCCCGGTGCCAGCGGCTGTGCCCGGAGCCCCTTGTCCGGTGGCGGTGCCCTGTGCCCGGTGTGCGATGCCCAGTGCCGACAGCCGGTGTCCGGTGTTCAGTGCCCGACGCTCGGTGCCCGGTGTCGCGTGTCCCGTGCCCGGTGCTGCCCCGCGGGGACGATGCGATGGCGCTGCGGCCGCCCCGGCCCCCGCCGCTTAATCGGCTCCGCGGCCCCGCCCCGGCCCCGGCCCCGCCCGGCCCCGCCCCCCGCACGTGCCCACCGGCACCGGCAGCCCCGGACCCCCCGGGCCCCCCGACCCCCGCTCCGGGCACGTGCGGGGCTCCCCGCACCGGGGTGGGCGGCGGGAGGTGACGGGCGGGAGGGGGGAGCGGCCGCTGACCCGGGAAGGGGAAGTGTCGCCGGGGCCGGTCCCGGGCCGGGACCGGGGGTCCCGCCGCCGCCTTCCGGCCATTGACAGCCCCGGGCCGGCGGCTTCCTGCGCCCGGGACCCGCGGGCGCCTTCCCACGGCGCCGCTCCCACGGGGCTGCCAGCCCGGCACCGGCACCGGCACCGGCACCCGCACCGGCACCGGCACCGGCACCGCACAGCCCCCGTTCCCCGCTGCTGCCGCCGGTGTGGGCACCCCGAAGGCCACGACACCCCGGAGCCCCGGGCGTGGACACCCCAAAAGTCACGGCTGGCTGGAGCCGCTGGAGCGGAGCCGGGAGCACCGGCAGCCCGGACTCCCCCGGTGCCCCCGGTGCCCACCCGGCTCCCCGCGGGCGCTGCCGGGGGCACCGAGCCCCGTGTGCGGCCGCACCCCCCGTGCGCACCGGGGAGCGCCCGGGGCCGGCGCAGAGAAAGGGTCGTGGCCGCCCCCCCGCTCGGCCCCCGGGGTCCCGCTGCCTTTCAATGGCCCGCCCCGCTTCAAAGGGGCCCCGGAGCCGCAGCAACGCCCCGGCCCCCTCCCCACCCTCGCTCCCCGCAGACACGGCGAGGACAGCTCTGCCCTCCTCCGCCACCCACCCCGCTCCTCGGGGCTCGCTGCCACCGCCACCCACCCTCCGGCTCGCAGCGGGACCGACCCACCGGGACCCAGCCCGGAGGGCACCTGCGGCCCGGCGGCCGCGGGGAGAGGCGGCGGCGGAGGGCACGGCGGTGCCGGGGGGCACCCCTTGGCCACGGAGGAACAATGATCCCTTGGTGCCGGGCTGGAGGACAAAACGAGCCCCGCGCTGGAATGCCAGTGCCTCAGCAAATTATTGAAACAAAAATAACATTTCTTTGTACAATAATCCTGGGGCGGGGAGGGTCCGGGCAGCGCTGCCAGGGGCCCAGAACTGGTATTTTTCCACTGCTTTCCTCTTTTTTTTTTTTTTTTCCCTTATTTTTTTCCTTTTTTTTTTTTCGCCCCCCTCCCATAACTCCCACCATTGTTCCTTCCCCCACTCCCTTCCCACTCCTCCCACGCTCGGCACCGCATGAGCGGGGCTCCCTTGTTCCCGCTCGCCCAACGCGTCCATGGGCCGGGAGCCCGGGCGGGCCGCCCAGCGCCTTCGCTCCCAGCTGCCGGGGCTGGCCGGGGGCCAGCGGAGCCGCAGCGGAGCCATAGCGACCGGCCCCGCTGCCCCGGCCACGGTGCCCACCCCCCGCTTCCAGCGGACCCCCGCCCCAGCCCCGCACGGGCATCCCGGCCCCGCTGCCCTCCCGGGGCTCCGCCGCGCTTCGTTCGAAGCAGGTCCAGGGCAGCACCGGAGATGCTGCGAGTGCCAGGGGGGTCCTGCCTCTGTCCCCCTCCCCACCAACAGGTCGAGGCCGACCCCGCCAACCCCAAATTTGTGCCCTGCAGCAGCCTCAGCGTTCCCTTGCCACGTTTTCCTTCCTCCACGGTTGGGTTTTTTCCCCTCGTGTAACACAATCCCAAGGCCTGGCCCTTCATTATATCCCCGCTGGCAGCTCCTCATCCTCCTCCCTCTCGCTGTGCCATCGCCCTCCCGGCGCGGCGTGCCCAAGGTCGGACCCACGCCTGCAAGGGAGGGAGCGGGGGCTGATTTTGGGGCACTGGAGGTGCAGCAGCTGCTCTGGGAGAGGGACCAACGCCATCGGACCGTGGCGAGGACAAATTATTCTAATGAGCTTCCTCCTGGTAAACGAGCCACGAGCAGTGAAGGGTGCCCAGGGAAAAAAAACCCACGAGGGAAAAATCCACAGGGGAAAAATACCCATGGGGGAAAAAAACCCCACAGTGCTGCCGTTGGTTTCCAGCATCCCTAAACCCTGGCCAGGGTCTTCCTACGCTTGTGTGACCCCAAATTAGGGGCAGTTTGTGCAAGATGCGGTGCGAAGTGACTTTGCCCAAGTGTGACCTGAGTTATCAGCGGACTCTCAGAGCTCAGGGCTCCTCCCGAGCTCGGGTTTGCGTCCGGGAGGACACGGGCGCGGGGATGCTCCGGGAGGAACGGGCGCGGGGATGCTCCGGTGCGGCGGGGCCGGTAAGGAGGCGGCGGCGGCGGCGGGAGCCCGGCTGGCTCTGGCACAGCAAACGCAGCCAGTAAATTTCCACTGGGGCAGCTCCGAGTTAATGAGCTCAATGCGTGACCCCGGAGCTGCCGGAGCTGCCGGCGGTGGGGAGGAATTCCCCAGGAAAGCCGGGAGGGGATGGGGACCCTTCCCGTGCCAGCGGAGGGGATGGGGACCCTTCCCGTGCCAGCGGAGGGGATGGGGACCCTTCCCGTGCCAGCGGAGGGGATGGGGACCCTTCCCGTGCCAGCGGAGGGGATGGGGACCCTTCCCGTGCCAGCGGTCCCGGGGGCAGCAGCCGGCCTGGGGGAGCTCACGGAGGGTAACGGGGGGCTCGGGGTGCAGAGCTCGGCTCAGGAGCCCCATCTGAAACTAAAACTGGAGGATTTGGGGATTTGCAAGAGGCTGGGCTCGGCTCTTGCTCTGTGGCCGAGTCCCACCGGTGTCTCCTGGTGTGGGTGGTGCCGTGCCAGCTGCAAGGACAAGGACACCTTTTAACAAATAAACCAAGACTCTGTAAAACGTTGTTTGAGCCCTGGAGGATCGTCACCTTCTCCGTAGTTCACCGTTTTGGACGCGTTGGGGACACGGGGAAGCGGGGCCAGCACCTGTGGCCTCCATCCCGGAGTTTGTGAGGGAGGCAGCGGGAACACAGCGGCTATTCCAGGACCGCTGCACTCCTGAGGGGTTTTATCCTTAATTCCATCGTGCCTGCTCCATCCAGCCCCGGGGATGCTGCTGAGGGCAGGGCCAGAGCAATCCACGGTGACAGCGGGACGAGGGACACTCTGGACACAGCGCAGGTGCCGTTTGCATCCCGAGCTGTTTGCATCCCGAGTTGTTTGCATCCCGAGCTGTTTGCATCCCGAGCTTTTTTGGGATGGTTCAGCCGGGTGGGAAGGGGTGGGAGCTGCAGCAGGGCCCGTGCCAGGCCCGTGCCAGGCCCGGGATGAGCCTGATCCTGCAGCACCCGGAGCCTCCTGCCGCTCCAGGCTGACAGCAGCAGCATCCAGCGCCCCTCCAAGCAGCTTTTCCCCCCAAAACCCCGGGGGTGCTGCAGTGGGACCCCCCAAGCTGTGCCAGGGCTGGAGGCCGATCCCAGCCCCGCTCCAGCACCTCGTCCCTCTCCTTTCTTACCTACTCCCTGCTCTGACACTGCCGCTCGCCCAAGTGACCCGGTTCCTTCCCGTTTCCTGCTTCCAAGCTCCAGCCATTTATCACCTTTCCCTTTTGAGTTTCCTTGCAGGGAGAAGCACTGAAAAGAAATCCACAACCTTATTGTCTGCTTGTTTTCCAATACAGTGAATTTATTATATGTTGCAAAATCAGCATTCAGCTTTTTTAGTGTACAAAAAAAGGACACTAGCTCTTAAGAAAAAAGATTAGGAAAGCTGAAGACTATGCTGCCTTGAAATTGTAACATTTTGGCAAAGTGAAAAGCTCTTTTGTAAACTCCAACTCCATGGCTCAATATAGTTTTTATCCACAGTACAATATTACAAAGTAAAACACAGTATCAATAAGTTAAGATCATACTTAAATCACCTAGAACTGGTTTCTATTAACCCAAAAAGCACAAAATTTTGCCTAAGCTTCATTGTCTCTAAAAAGAAAAAAAAAAAAAGAAAAAAAAAAAAAAGGCAGATTCGACTACAATTCTTTAACACAGTCCAAAAGAAAAGTGAAGCAGGAAGTTGGTGGATGCTAATTGGGTCTCACAGTTTGGATAATTAATTAAATATTTTCAGGGTTTTTTTAATATTCAAATTTTTAGAAGTTCCAGAATATACATGTAAATGTACACAATACATCTTTGTATACAACTCTGTTTGCAAAAATATCTTATAGCAGATGTATAAAGATTGAGATCCATCTCTATCCCCCCCCCTCCCCAAGCAACAACAACAAAAAAAACCCCTCCTTTCAAAATATTAAGGATCAGGAGAAGTGTTTCCACGGAAGAATTTACTCATCCTGGGTTTGCAGCTGCTGCCTCTTCTGCCATCCCGAGTTCCGCCTCCTCAGCAGTCCAACGAAGCCCCCAGAGCCCCCAGCACTGGGGAAATTCCCCCTTTTCCACCCAAAAATCCCGGCAGGGCTGTGCAGTGCCAATCCCAGAGTGGGGCTGAGGGTTTGGGACGTGCCAGGACCCCTCATCCCCCCTCATCCCTCATCCCCAGGGCCCAGGCCAGGCCGGATGGAATTCACGGATTCCCAGACAAAAACTCCTTCCTGCAGAAGCTCCAGGGGCAGGTGTGGGGCTGCCCCACCTCCCCGACCTCCAGCCCCGATGTGGGGAGGAAGGGATGGGAGCGAAGCATTCCTGACCCCGGCATTCCCTCCCAGCAGGAATTAACGCCCTGGGGGGTTCTGGGGTGCTCCCCCTGTGCTCCTCCTCCCACCCCCTTCTCCGCAGGTGTGGGGCTCAGCACCTGGTGGCACTCCAAGGGCCACCGTGTCACCCTGGCTGTCACCCTTCCCTCGGAGAACGGGGATGGCAAAGCCCTGCTGAGCGCCGGATGCACAGGGAGAGACCTCAGAATAAAGTGACAAAGCAAAAGCAGTGGCCCTGGCTGTGTGACAACAGTGAAATTATAATATAATAAGAATTAGCAATTTTATCTCCTATTTTTCATACAGCAGAAGGACCCACGTTTTGTTTGGGGCAAGGGGGGGAAAAAAAAACCAAACAAACTCAAAATAACTCCTTGTTGTACGAAGTGTTTCCCTCCTTAACTCTGCCATTCCTCTCCTTCAAAGGGTGAAAGGCTCCTCAGTGCAACCTCCAAGGGAAGGAGACTCCACAGGGAAGGAATCCTTTACTCTGAGATAAACGGAAGCGGGAAGAAGTCAAGTCCCACAGGCTGGCAGGATTAAAAAGGGGAGAGGGGAGAGAAAGAAAGGAGCAGCAGAGTTAAAGGACACCTTTGTGCTTTTTGGAGCGTTTCTCACACCCTGGCCATACTCTAAAACGTTCCCTTCAATCCAAAGTAAAGAATTAAATAAACAATCAGGAAGCAGGACTGCAGGGAGAAGCTGGCTGAGATAAAGCACGCCAGTGGAAGGGATCCGCGTGGGAAAACAGCACCTTGCTGCTCTCACAAGGATTTGCTGCTGCCTTGCAAAGACACAACAGAAATATCCCAGGAGAAAGCAGAGCACCCCCCACCCTCCTCTCATGGATCAAGGGACAAAGTCACTCCTCTGGGTGACTCCTGGGTCACTTTTAGTAATACTGCAAGGAAAGGGTCCCAAGCACTTGGCCTAAAAGGAAAAGGGAGGCACAGTTTTAGAAAAAAGATGCTTTTTTCTTTGATACAAAAATAGACCACAGTCTCATTAGCAATTAATAAAATTGGCTGCCTTGGTAGAAAATTAGAAAAGTCAAAGCCAGATGGGTCTCATCTTCCCAGCACTGGTAGCTGGAGGTGAACTGGGCAGACTGGGCAGGAGGTTTGCACCCAAATGCACAAAGCAGATTAAAAAAAAAATAAGGGGTTTTGGGGTTTGTGGGGTTTTTTTGGGATCCACCTCTGCCCTGACCAAGGTGCTGAGCCCCGGGGGACCCCCTGTGCTGCCACCACCACCCCCCAAGCCCGAGGTGACAAGGACAAAGCAGGGCCAGACAAGCAGAGCTCAGGGAACGTGGTGTATTTCCGCGGAGCCGGGAGCAGACAGCTCTCATTCCAAACAGTCCTAGCAGCAATTCCAGTTCCTCACCATTTGTAGGACAATTTGTAACCCACGTGGAGCTGGGGAATTACAACTTCATGCCAAACTTTTAATCCATGAAAACTACAGATTCTTAACCTTTGGGAGCTTCGGTCACTTTAGGCAAGTTTTCCCTTAAGTGTCAAACGCTGGCTTCAAATAAGCAGATTTTTTTTTGTTTGTTTTTTTTTTTTGTTTGTTTGTTTTTGTTATCCATTTGTTACATTCCAACATTCAGAGAGGCTTAAAAACTCGGGAGGAGCGTGCTGGACGTGGACATGACAGATCTGGCATCTTAAAGTCATCCCCAAGTTCTTCAACCACGAGGAATTAATGCTCGTCTCTGAAAGGGATTTTGGGCGTACAAAAGGGAACGTAACGTCCAGGGTGACTGGATTTTGGTTTGCCCTACCCAGTCCAGGGGTGAGTGGCAGCTAAAACTGCTGCTGGTCATACTCTGCTATCAGTTTTTTGATGTGGGCCAGTTTGTTGTGGAGGTATTCGCAGCGGTTCTTCTCTTGGCTGTAATTGGGGTTTGTCTGCAAAACAGAACAAACAAAAAAAAAAAGGAAGTGCAGAGGTGGGAAAGGTTCTGGACATATCAAAGCTGAGAACAGATCATGGAATCGATCATGGGATGGTTTGGGTTGGAGGGAATGCAAAGATCATCTCACCCCATCCCACCTTCCACTGTCCCAAGCCCCATCCAACACTTCCAGGGATCCAGGGGCAGCCTCACTTCTCTGGGAATTCCATCTCACTCCCTCCCAGGGAAGAATTTCCTAATATCCCACCTAAACCTCCCCTCTTTCAGCTTAAAACCATGGAAAGAAGCTTTTTCAGATCCCTCTTTGAAATAGTCCTGATTAAACCCAGGCAAGAATAAAACCCCTTTTCAGCATTATCCAGCTCCAGGAGCCTCCTCACGGGGAAGGAGCACATCTGAGTTAGGCTGGGCCTAACTGAGCTTCCAACAATCACCACCCGCCCTCTGGCCCCACCTCAGAGGCTCTGGAACAAAGATAAACTTCCAACATGCAGGGGATTTCCTCAAAGAGCTCCTAAATCCCTGAGGACAACAGGGCTCAGGACCATACTCACTTATTTAAAGGAAAAAACCCCAAATCCCCACTGGCGTGGGGATGCTTTGCATAAAATACTGACATTTTACGTGCCCCAAACGTCAAAAATCCGGGGCCAGAGCTCCAGAGCCTGATCCCAGCTGGGATCTGTGGCCCAGCAGCCCCAGAGGATGCTGCTATCCCTCAGCCTGTGCATCTGAGACACAAACTGTTCCTTCCCCGGGGAGATAAAGGCCTGGGTGAACGCAGCCATTGTGCCACGGCCACGGCTCAGCGATCCCCAGGATCCACGGGGCACTCCCAGCTCCCCCCAAACCCTTCTGATCTGCTGGAGGGGCGGGCTGGAGCTGAACAAAGATCTGCTGGAACTGCCTCAGAGCCTGGCTCTGCTCTTGGCAAGGGCCCATCTCTTTCACTCACACCAGGGGCACCCTCCCAAAAGCCTTCTGTGGCCAAGGACATCCCCTTACCTTTTTAATTTTCCGATATTCCTGTAAAATTTGATCGTGGATGGTCTAAAAAAACAACAAAAAAAAAGGGAGAGAGAGAAAAAAAATAGGGTATTATTTTCAGTTCTGCTGTAGGTATTTACTGATGGCTCAATGTGCACAATTCCTCCACATTCCAGCGAAAATCTGCTCCCTCCATGGCTTCCCTGGGCAGATCCAAAGGCTCTGATTCCATGGATATCCTGGAGCTGACACAGAAGGATAAAGCCCCACTCCCCACCTGTGTGACAAGCACCCGGATTCCAGGATAATTCACATTTCCAAAGCCCCAGCTGACTTTCCACCCCCCCGCCACCAAGATCTAAAAACAATCCAGTGAGGAATTTTGCAAGGAGAAGGGGCAGGAGGTTTGAGGGACGAAGCTGTGCTTAGCACAATAGGTGCTCTGTAAAAATCTGTTTATTATCCTCGATGAGACTCACTTTTTCAAGCTAATGAATAGCTAAAACTCTTTAAAAATCACTCTGACAAGCCCAATAATGCTGCATTATTAAGATCAAAGATTGCAGAGGAACAGATGACCCCGTGCTAACTCCCCTTCCAGCCCTGATACGCTCCCATATGTGCAAATATGAGTTTTTCTGGCTGGGATACACTAATAGCTTCCAGCAGCTTTTGGCTAAGGACACCAATTGTCTCACTGAGGCCTTTCCTTGTCAACAAGTCCCATGATGTGGCTCCAGCCTGAAAAAGGAGCAGCACAGAGCTGGGTGAGGAGCATTCC